ATGGCGGCACCACCAACCAAAAACACCCGAATTGACCGTCAAATGCGTATTCGATGAACAACCTGTCCAACCGAGTGTTATGTCTGTTTGTCTGTGATAGATGGGGTATTAGGAAAGTACAAATACATTATAACTATTAGTGCAATGGATGAACGTTAGTTTCGGGGTCATGTTAGTGTTAGAGTTTTGTTAGTATTGACCCGTATTCAGCCCTGTCGGCCCCTCGAACACTAGTCGCAGGCAGTTGTTGTTAGGACATGCGACACTGTCACTGCTACTATGTTAGAGGTATGACCCGTCAAGTTTCGAAGTGCAAAAAAAAAAACTGTTAGAACTTTCTTATAAATTAACTTTACACTCAAAGCAAACTATTTACCTTATCATTACAAAAGCGAAATTAAAATTACTATTTTATTTTATGCTAATATTAAAATTATGATAAAACTACAATTTACGGCTCCGTGAAATTAACTCGCATGAACCTTTCAAATCAATGAACTGGAGAAAAACTTCAATTTTATCAAATTGCAAAAAAAAAATCATAGCGACACTTGACAAATCATTATCAAGCCCCTCATCCTTGGACAGGGGAGGACTGAATTTAACATTTGATAAAAAAAATCAATTTTGAAGCTTATTTGGAAGATACCTTGAGTTAGTAGTAAGTTTTCTGGCAAATGTCGGGGGCTCGTGAGCATTCCTGACATTGCTGAAAATTATGATAGCATCAGATTGCGGGGTTGCTAGTGTAATAGGATGCTTTGCTGAATGTTCATTAACTCTTGATTGCTTGTAATACTTATGAATATTTTAGGTGGACAAAAAGGCGAACTAAGAGGTGGAGGCCTGAGTTTTTTCACATTTATATCGCTGTGAAGCAATTGTAAAGTCTAGAGGGAATTTAAAGCTGTAACTGTAACCAGTTCAATTTTGTTTGCAAACCTGGTTAAATTGACATATTTAATTATCATAAAGATAAATCGTCCAGCTCAAACCTTTGTAGGGGTAAAAGGTGGGACCATCATCATCAAATTTCTTGTAACTTTCATCCCAAAATCCTTAAAGATTGTTTCCCGGGATATTGGAACAGATTCTCGGGAATCGAGAATCGGGAAACGTGATTTTTGGTAAATTTCCCGGGATGTCCGGGTAGAAAACACTGGTCCTGTAGATTCAAGTATTACTCAACATTTAAAGAAAGAGCTTTAAACCAAAAATCTTCATTTCTGTAGAATATAGTCATCATAAATTTCAACATATCTTCAAACATCTTCTCAAAAAGGGAAATGTCTTCAAAGTATCTACGGGATGGCTTCAAAATGAAGACATGTCTTCAAATCTGGCATCTCTGCTTCTGTTTCATTTAGCGTGACACAACACACAATCAAGGTGTTTGTAGCGGTCGTAGTTAATTCAAGCTGAACATTGCATTAGGTCCTAAATAACATTGAAACATTCTATTCGTGGACTTTCTCTTTGTATCCCCACGGCCACTTAAAGACATTCCCAGGTTTTTTCTCCGCACAGATCGATAGAAGAAGTTTTTATCTAGCATCTAATACGACAAAAGAAACAGTTATGTGCTCAAGATTTTAACGAAAGAGAAAGTCGACGAAGAGAATCGATCCATGTTACCTAGGACCTAATGCAATGTTCAGCTTGATTTATTGTGATATGAGGGGCTCGGTGGCCTTACGGTGACTGTTTTTGCTTTTTGGGTAAGTGTGCCAGTTTTTGGTCCTAGTGGCCAACTGGCCCTGCCTTCAATATCGCATTTTTTTTTATTCTTCACTAAATTTATGTTGATGCAAAGTTAGATTCGGAGTCGGAGTCGTGGAGTTGTAGTCGTGGATTCTAAATCGTGACTTTAATGAAAAATTATTTTAAACTAGATCGGAGTTGAGCGGGGTTCTCTCTGTTTATACTCTTTAGTATGACGCACTTGACATAGATGGCCCACAGCAACTCACAAAGAACTACTGATTCCGATCAATAGCGGTGCGGTTTCTTCCTCCTTCTATGGATGCTCATGTCGGCTGCAGCTCGCTGCTTGCGGGGAGCCTTTCGTTGTGTATTGGAGAACACCACCACTCACTTCGCGGTGATTGAATACATAGTTTGGTGAGACCGGATGAAATTCAACTTTGAAATCTGCAGTGGCGTCGCGTAACCTCACTTTTTACCTGTGCACCAACTTTCAAAACCAGATTTATTGCCATATTCGGTTGAAAAATACTCTTAATCTTCTAGTTTACTCGAAATCTATCCATTGGAAGCAATATTTTGATAATTGTGTATGTTTTGAGAGTTGGTGCACAGGTAGATTGAGGTTAAGGCGACGCCACTGGAAATCTGTGTTTGGGAAATCGCTTTTCGAAGGCAATCGGTGAAAATTTTAATTATCATAGCAACAGTTTCATATTCGTGCAATTTTCAATAGTAAAATTTTGAAAAAAAAATGATAAAAAGTCTCCAATTTAACAGATGCATAGAAATATATCTGATCGATTGGTGATAAAATTATTGAAATTGGTCTAGGGACAGCTGAGTTATTAACGTTCAAAATCTTTCATATTTTTGTTACATGTTCCATTTGCGGTTTTAACAAAGTGTACCCCCGTATAGAAATCACAGATTTTTTTAAAACAGATTTAATTTTATCAGTTAAATTTAAATTAATCATTTCAAAATATTGTGGAGGAAAATACGATCGCGCACCTGAAATTCAAAATTCGAAAGCATGATAATATAGAGAATATGGAGATAACATCCACATAACATAAATCAGACACTGTCCATGAGCACCTTTTTTTGGCTCATGATCAATTTGATTGAATTTAAATCAGGACTGTCATGGTGGTTACTCATGGTTAGTCATTCGCATTTCAGTTCAAATTTAGCCATTTTGAATCTCCAAAATGGCGTATTTGCAGTTTGGGCGATTATTTCTACTCAAGGGGCAAGCTGATTAGTCTTATGTGGCAATAATAATTTTAGCCATAAATAGTCTTTCTGTCATAAATAAGATAACTCCGGAACAAATCAGGGCGAAACTGGCGAAAAACAGAGCAAGTTTGGACATATTAATTTAATTTTTAATTGAAGGTCAAGCAATATTTTTTCCAAAGGAATTAAATTTATGATCGTGAAATTGATCAATTTTTATTTGTGTTGAGTGTAAAATCCCCTTTTTTTATTAATTTTCTCATGAAACTCGACATTTTTATAATTTCGCCCGTAAATGCGGAATGATAAGAATACGCCCTCATTAAATCGCCCCGAACATGTATGACAACAACAATTCGCCCAATACTATGCGCCTTGTTTTGATTTCCTTAAAAGTATCACCCTTCACTTTTCGCCGTGTTTACGTTTCAGCGAAAGATGAACTTGTTACTATTTTCGCTTTTGTTGATAATAAACAACATTGATTTGGCCCGTTCATTGAAATGTTTCAAATGTACTATCGTTAACAAAGGAAAGAGCGTAATCCATTTTTAAGCTTGTTTAGAAATAAATTTTGTTTCGCCTTTGGCTTTGCACGGATTTTTCGATAGTGGAACATTTAAAAAAAAAATGTTTGTGGGGATTTGTTAGTAGATCTTTAAGAGAGAGAGAGAGAGAGAAGGATTAGTAATTTCCATTTAATTCCACTACCTTATTTGCTTATCCTTGACAGATACGCGTATTTCGTCTACAATGTGCAGACTTCTTCAGTGTCTTGTACTAATACTTAGTACAAGACACTGAAGATGTCTGCACATTTTAGACGAAATACGCGTATCTGTCAAGGTTAAGCAAATAAGGTAGTGGAATTAAATGGAAATTACTAATCCTTCTATCTCTCTCTCTCTTTATACAGGTATTCCACTAAGACGCCCACATTCATCAGAATAGTAGATCTTTGCCTGCTCCGTCTGATTGCAGTAAAATCTCCGTTTGTTTACATGTTGCTAGTTTCGCCCTAATCACAATTTGCTCCGGAACTATTGTACAATCCAAATTGGTACAGTTAGTTTTTTTCAAAATACATAAAAATTAGACAATCTTTATATAAACTTCATGAGCAATATTAACTCTACCAATCTGGATTAAACAAGGCTTACCTAAATTTCTATAGAAATACTACGTATGGCTACAATTGTTGTTACCTTATAGGACTGTCCATCTTGCCCCTTGGGTAGAAATAATTGCCAGAAAATTCAAAGTTTTCATCGTAGCTTATTGTACAATATTGTATAATTGTTCTCCAAGCATAGGATTACATTGATGCTTCTGCAAGCTTATAGGGTTTTTGATCTGATTTCCGTCCTACTAAGCACAACCCGCGCTTTACCTCTCTTTTCTGAACCAGTTTAAACCAAAAATTGAATATTTCCGTCAAAGATGACTTCTAAATTTATTCACCTTTCCATACGCACGTCCATACTTGATAAAGAGTCACAAATTGTTGAGATATTGTTTGAAATCTAATACTGCTTCTTGATTCTAAATTCGTTCTACGAGTTTCAATTCCGTCCTAACGCATTGAAACGCCATTAGATTTTCTTCGTCCTACGGATAAACATAGAAAAAGGGAATTCACTAGGAGCGCTTCTTTTGTTTTGAGAACAATGAGCGTAAATATTCATACAATGCGCTCTAGCAAAATTTATGTTGTAGCTAATGAACTAACGCATCGGAACAACCCTATTATTGATTTGTGCACGGTGAATTCATTGATATTATTGATCTTTTCTGATCCATAGAACGAAAATAGGCGATTACGAAGAAGAAGCGCTCCACCCTAGACAGAATTATTTTCTGGGCAAAATAATGGTATTTTATTCCTGTTTCCCTAATTGTAAATTTGGGACATTCGATTTTCGCATAAATAATTGTGAAAGCTTCAAACTGTCAAGCTACGCAAATTCTTGCTTTCGAGCACCAATAGCCACTGACATTTCTGTGGCAAATTAGAAAACTCTATGCCAACTTCCAACAAGGCGCAAAACACTCACCTGAACTTGAAACATGGTGACCGTGTCGTCGAGCATCTGGATCCGAACGGCCAGCTTCTTACCGCCGCGCGTGTGCGACGCCGAAATGCTACCGTCCACCCCGGACGGTGTGCTAAGTGAGTGGATCATCCTGGTGCCGGACAGTGTTCCCACGGCGCCGGAACTGCCACCGCCAACGGCCGACGACGGTCCCATCGAATCGAGCGACATGATTATCGATGCGTAAATATTTTCTCGTTATGCGAATGTGATGCTATTTTCTGTTACGTTCACAATTTTGGCACTGACACACAACCCGATGCACTGTTCTGTTGTGAGTGGTTGCTTTTTTTCTTTGGGTTGTTTTTCCTCCCGCGTTTTCACAACAAAGAGACTCTTTTAAAACGCACGCTTACACACATACGAACATTCACTGAAGAAAATGACTAAAACAGATAACAGAAACCCAAAGTAAATCAACAAACGGACATCGACAACGCCACTATGGTTATATTAACTCGCGACCGACCGGCTAATCACATCTGGCCTACATGCTTTTCACTCGACTTCTTACTCTCGATGAGCTTCGGGGCTTCTTTGCATTACACTCTGCCGACTGCCACTGCTGCTGCTTCTGCTTTTTCTATTCCACTGATGCCCTTCATTGCCTTCCTTTCGATTGCACCACACGCCACCCACTCTCGTCGATTCACTCGCGCAATAACAGAACGCAAGAAAAAAAACCTAACTCTCGCAAACTCGTAAATCGATCTTCATCTGGTGTGAAGCCTGGTTAAAACATACAACACACGATCACAGAGTACCCTACTATACTCATTGACTAATTTCACACAATATTTCCCCGCACATTCTACGGTTGGCTTCCTTAAATCTAAACAATTATTTCAACAAATCAACAATTTTCCTCCTGGCAGCTGCGTCAGCTCTTCTGCTGCTTTGCAGGAATCGACCCAACGGATCACCAATCCAGCGGACCCGCGCGCGCGAAATCTTCGAGTTTCGTTTCGTTCGATCGACCGTCCGTCCGTTTCAGTTCGTGTTTTCGAGTTCAACTAGGGTGTGGCTCATCAATCGGTTCGAATCTAGAAAAAGAAATAACCAGAAGGGGGAACAGCATTAGATCATGTGATAAATAGCAGCATGGATGGAAGTGAATTAATTAGGCTGTGAGATAAACAGAAAATTGTGGGGCGATAGATCAATTTGAGGGTTTTTTTTTCATTCCTAGATTAAGTTGATGATGATGATGGGGATTGAGCCGGGCGAAATCGCTGACATTCCTATCGCGGACCGGTGAACCGAAATTTATTGAGATCTATAAGCTCCCGGAATGGATTTGTAGCCCTAATTTGAGCTTAATTGGAGGCCATTAATCTTGTTCCTTTTGTGCTATCCGGCACAGAGAGTGCAGTTAGCCTCCGCGTAGTTAATAAAATTGTACTTAACTATCTTTGTACCCGGCGAGCAGTTGGTGGAAATGGTGACTGGTAGGGAGTTATTAATTTCGAAACGATTAATTTACGTAAGTTCGGTAGAACTCGCGACCTCGACTGATAGGGTAACATATTCTAGACTAGATTGTAGTAGCACATAGCCACAAAACAATGGGTGGTCGTATGTTCCTTCGGTGTCAACTTGCTACGACCTTGTTCTTTTTGGAGAATTGAATAAATTAACTCACTGCGTTCGAGTGCTCGGTTGGTATGAGGAATATGTAAAGAACGCCTCACGTGGGCCTGATACTGGTAAAATATGAGCCGTTCGGTGGTGCGATATTGGTTTGGTGAAAATTGAACTGCATTGGAGAACAAGTACAATTCTAAAATGTAAGAAGTATCTTATTTAACCCTTTTCAGTTTTTATTTTAACACCGATTTTTTAAAACCCTATTCAGGATTCTTCCAGAACTCCCAATTTCTAATTCAGGATTCTTCTTCTTTTTCTCATTTCAAGATTATTGCTTATCGCATATTAGCTTATTGCGTGCTTTCAACTTAGTGCTCCAAATGCACTTCCACAATCATTAATTGTAGCGACGCCGGTGGTGTAGTGGTAAGCGTGATTACCTCTCACCCCAGCAGGCCTGGGTTCAATCCCAGTCGGCGCCACTGGGATGTTCTGAGGCATAACATCTCTGATCACGCTTTCCTTCGGATGGGAAGGAAAGCCGTTGGTCCCCGGCTCATGAATTGATGGGTCGATATGTAGTGTCCAGGTGTGGGTACTGCCTCCCTGGCGTTGGTAGCATTGGTGCTCAGCACGGAAAACAAGATCGATTATTAATTGAGAGCTTTCGATTGTTGCAGTAGTATAATTGTGTGGCAAGTGCAATAATACTTCTACGTCCAGGGAAGTCTAGAAATGTTTAACCTGGAAAATCCCGAGACTAGACTGAGGCCTCAGTTCTAAAATGCAAGAAGCATCTGATTTAACTCTTACCAGTTCTTATTTTAACACCGATTTACCCTATTCAGGGTGCTTCAGAATCCTATGCAGGGTTCATCTAGAATTCTATACAGGGTTTCTTCCAGAATCCTATTCAGGATTCATCCAGAATCCTATTCAGGATTCATCCAGAATCCTATTCAGGATTCATCCAAAATCCTATCCAGGATTCATCTAAGGCCTGTACTCGAAAAAAAATGCACCAGACAAAAGTGATCGCCAAAAAATTATTTTAAGTCGGATTTTCTTGAAACTTTCAGGGAATGAACTAATACATATGGATTATGTTTCGGCATAATTGCTTTATTCAATTTCCTTTCCATCGCTGAAAGCCCGCACCTTTCCCTTAAGACCCCTAATTACATTTTGTGCAATGGTGGAGCCGACCTTTTTGGTCACTTTCATCCATTCTTTCTTCAACTCCAGCTCGTTCTTAAGCACCTTGGACGAACTTTGGCCTTCATTATGGCCCAAAATCTTTCCACCAGACGAATCTCTGGTGAATTTGGGGGGTACAAAAACAACGTTATTGTCTCTGTACCAATCCAACGTCGATCGCGCGTAATGGCATGATGCCAGGTCCGGCCAAAATAATGTCTCGCCTCCGTGGGACCGCAGGAAGGGTAACAGACGCTTCTTGAGGCACTCGGTGCGGTAAATTTCGCTGTTGATGGTACCCATTGTGATGTACGGTTCATTCAGTTTACCGCATTGGCATATAGGCAGGCCACCAGAGCAAGTATTTTTTGGCGAATTTGTCCACTTTCTTCTTCCTTATGTCTTCCGGAACATAAAACCGTGATTTGGCAACGTAGAACTCCATCCCCGGTATCTGCTTTGCGTCTGCCTTGATGTAGGTTTCGTCATCCATAACCACACACATCGGTCTCGTTAACCACTCTCGATACAGCTTCCTTGCGCGGGATTTGGCCGCCGTGTTTTGTTGATCACGCCGGTTCGGTGCCTTCCGGACCTTGAATACACGAAGCCCAGCTCGTTTCATGGTTTGCTGAACGAACCAGGCGGAACACTTTGCCTTCAGAGCCGCGTCGCGAATCGAAAGCTTCGGACTACGCTTGAAATAATCCAACACCTTCCGGGCCTTCACAGGGTCAGCTGTCTTCGATTTTCTTCCACTTCCAGCCCGCCGCTCGGTCGTCTGGGACTCCTTAAACGATTTGACCACCCGAGACACAGTGCGATGGGTAATTCCCAGTTGTCTTCCGATCCATCTCTTGGTCGCAGTCGGATTTTCCATGACGGCGCGCAAAATTCTCCGGCGATTTTCTTCTTGTTTCGATGACATCTCAATAACCACTGAACCGATTGTTATGAAATTTACATGTAAACAATTCACTCCAAACTAGTTATACTCAGATTTTCATCAGTGTATACCCACGGATAAAAATGATTCATTATTTTTCGAGTACAAGCCTTAGAAGCCTATTCAGAATTCATCCAGAATCCTATTCAGGTTTCATTCAGAATTCTATTCAGGATTCATCCATACTCCGAACTAAGATATCTATGAAAAATGCAATAAAATAGAGGGAAGTGGAGAAAAATCAGTCATTTTACAGTGACGCGCGGTGGATAAAACTACATTATCGGTGATATAATTATAGTTTGTAATGCGGTTAGGAATAAGCATTGAGAAATATTTCAATGAATTTAAAGAAAATTTCCCGAGTTTCTAGGACATAAATAATAATAACCTGATTTTCCAGGTTTTTTTCGGGCAATCGACACCCTTATTTATTAGCTTAAGACATTTATTTTAATTTAAAGAATTTGGTACAAATTTAACCCTTTGCCTTTGGTCAATTTAACCCCAGGCCATTTTGAAAGGCTGTAGCTTTTTGATTTGTCGATGGATTTTTTTAATTCTTTCGTGACTAGGTGCGTCCACCAGAGTACTGTAGTGTTAGATGAAAACTGCTCCAAAAAACTTAACAACATATTGATTGGAAAAATTGTATTGAAATGCTTACGTTGTCTGTTCCCTGGGGTAAATTTGACCCCAAATGGAAATTGCCGTATCTTAACGAAATTTCAATGGATATCTGAAATTACAAATGATTTGCAGAATAAATTTAGTGAAATTTCAGTTCACATTAACAGACTTTTCTTTGGAGGGGCGGATCTCTCGGGGGGAGGGGTCATTGTGACATATTTTGATGTTAGAGATGTTTAAATCACGTGATCCCAACCAGGGGTTGAAACAGTTGACGTTTTTTACTACACTCGCTCCGTTGTCGTGCACGACAGTCTGTTTGTATTCGAATACTCATGCTCTACCGTCGTCTCTCTCACACAACACGAGCGGTAGAATAACATTCGAGCTAAAAGAAAATGATCAAAATAGCTATCATATGACATGTGTGGTATCGTTGTAATTCCTCAATTTGGTGTAAATCAAACCATTTCTGATCAGAAATATTATTACTAGGACATCATTGCTTGCTATTTTCAGAATTCACACAAGCACACCATCAGCAGCTCTTATTATGAGAAAAACTAAAATACTTACATTCGTGACGGTCTTCGGCGAGGGTGTCGTATGACAGAGCCTGTCATACGACATTTTAGTTTGGTACTGTACTATGATAGCTTGTTTTGCAAGTGTCGGAGGCAAAGGCAGTCAATTATCACAGAAAATGTGTCGACTACCGTGACCGCTTACAAGACTGATCCCAACCATATAGGATGCTGCTTCCTTTTGCAAAGATATTCAAGAATACAAGGTCTTCAATACAGAATTTACTCACTAGATGGCACTAAAAAGATAAAATGATGAAGTTGCGCCATCTTCAATACATATTATATAACGCTATTTAAAGATCATGCTCATATGGATGGTTCCCTTTTTGAGAAAAGTGTTTCAGATGGACAAAACCTATCATAAAGGTAAAGAGTTTAGCTCAGAATTCACTCACCAGGTGGCGCTAGTGTGACATTCATTATGAATTGTTTGCCCTAAGTTAACATTTTGACTAGATAGAAGGATTCCGTCTTCGGCAAAATTGTTCAGATGGATAAGACCTATTTTATGGTAAAGAGTTTAGTTCAGAATTCACTCACCAGGTGGCGCTAGTGTGACTAGATAGAAGACTCGCGTCTTCGACAAAGTTGTTCAGAAGAACAAGACCTAGATTATGGTGAAGAGTTCAGCTCATAATTCACTCATCAGGAAGCGCTAGTGTGACATTCATGTGTTCCTTTGATTACTGAAAAATCCTGTTCCCCTAGTTTGAAGTAGTCAAGACTTGGAATCGGTGATAGATCTTACATCCCGTAACGTACCACAAAAAGGTGATCTACCCACGTTACGGGGCAACATCTTGACTTGATAGAAAGTTATTTTCCTGGGCAAAGTTGTTCAGATGAACAAGATCTATTTTATGTTAAAGAATTCAGCGCAAAATTCACTCACCAACCAGCGCTAGTGTGACATCCATTTATAATTGTTTGCTCTCAGATGGACTAGAAAGATAGAAGGTTTCCGTTTTGAACAAAGACCTATTTTTCTAGAAGCGGTAAAACGAGCTATCGTGCGAGAGGATGTCCTAATGAGTGGTAACGAAGAGCTCGCCCTCAATCCACGAAATGTTAACGATAGTAAGTTGGCAGTCCCACTCTCCCTGTCCAAATCGCTTCAATCGGGTGCCCTGATGGTCTCTCTTAATCCCCGTTAAGCAATAAGCTAATTTAAATGAATACCAATTGAGGGGTATGCAGCTGTTGTTCAAAAGGAAATCCGAGATGGACTCAAAGGGGAAATTTGAGAAGTATTTAAACTAATCGGAGCAAATTCGGAGGAGAGTTTCAAGTAAATTTTGAAAATAATGCAAAGATAATCGAATAATGAGGATCGTTCTGAACAAATTTCCGAGAGAATTTGAAGTGACTTCTGCACCGTTCGAAAAATTCATGTAAATTTCTGCGAGATATAGCGCACATAAAATTAACGATAGATTTGGCATAAATTTACGCGATATTTCGTGTAAATTTAAGCGCAATGCCACATAAATTAGCAATATTGTATGCAACCTTGTAAATGATTTCGCTGATTATGCCAAGTATAGCTCAACATTAAACGAAGGAGGATTTTACGCGATAGTTGAAATTCAGAATTTTTTCTGTGTGTAAAGGGTTCCAAAGGAAATCTGACGCTAATTCCGATAAATTTCCGTAAGAATCCTGAGGCGACTTCAAAAATTTTCATAAGAATTTACAGGAAAGCTCCAAAATAGTTCTGCGCAGAATTTAGAGCCACGTCTGAGGTGAATTGCAACAAAATTCCAAAGCCAATTTTAATCAAAAATATGAATTTGACGAATCATTAAGAATTCCAAGAGAATCTTATGTGAATTCCTAGAAAGTCACAACTTCACCCCTCGCAACGGTCAGCGAGCCCCACCTTGCTCATTGATATGCAATGCCATGCGCGGTTAATTACACTTTTTTTTCTCGCAATCGGAAATCAGCAAACGTTAAAAAGTGTGTTACCATTCCATTCACTTTACTACGGGAGACAACAGCGGGGCATCGCTCGCATTCTTGAGCGCTTGTTATTGATAACACAGCAAAGCTTCCTTCAACTGGTAGGCGGTAATGCACCCTGCAGCGTTAGTCTACCTTGGCGAAAACTGCATCGATGAGCTGCTGCTTTATAAGCATGTTCCGTAACGAGTTACCGCAATATAGTATACTTCCACCTTCAGCCAGCAGTTCAGAATGACTGCCACACTTTGGCGGTTGATTGGGGTAGTCTCGATTATCGGTCTCGGCAGTTGCTATCTTCAGACGGATCGACCACCAAATCCCAAGCATGGCAACGGTCAACCACACAGCGAAAACGATCGATCCCGAATAGCTACCCAAATCGAAGAACTAGCGGATGATGGCGAGGTGAATCCCTGGGAACTCAGTGGACTGTACGAAGGAGATATGCTGCTGGATTCGCACCAGGCTAGGAACGGGATACTGAACGAAACCATGCGATGGCCTAACGGAACCGTGCCGTACTATATTGAGGATGATGACTTCAGTAAGTATCTGTCGTAGATCTTGAGACGTAGATAAACTCTATATTATTTCAGCTGATGAACAGGAACTGGTAATTCTGAAGGCCATCAAGGAGTACCACAAGAAAACCTGTATCAAGTTCCGGCCGTACCACAAGAGTGATTTGAACTGGGTGGTCTTCCGTTCGAATAGCAGCGGTTGTTGGTCCAGCGTTGGAATGCAATCCGAAGGACAGACCGTGAACCTCCAATCACCGGGTTGCGTTAAGCACGGAGTGGTAGTCCACGAATTGCTGCACGCTTTGGGATTCTTCCACCAGCAGAGTGCCTCCAACAGGGACGACTTCGTTAGAATCCTCTGGGAAAACATCGAATCCGGTCACGAACATAACTTCGACAAGTACAACGATACTGTGGTGACCAGCTACGGGGTGGAGTATGACTACGGAAGCGTGATGCACTACAGCGGCAAGGCTTTTTCCAAGAACAAAGAACCAACCATTGAGGCTCTGCAACCGAACGTAACGCTTGGACAGCGGAAGGGGCTCAGCGATAAGGACATAACCAAGCTGGATCAGATGTACCAGAGTCGTTGCGTTCAGAGCACCGATCCGGGCGATTCGGAACCGCCGGGATTCCTCGATCAATTTAACTCGTTGCTCGGTTTTCTCGGCAGCAATTTGCTGCTGAATCCGTAGAAAATGCGGCTCGTGGAAGAGGGAACGCAACCCATATCAATCATAATAAAATCTACGATCCAAACTTTGCCGACGAAGCCAAATTTGTATTATTGTACCCTGTCCGCCCAGGTCCATCAATGAAATGAATCAGTATGTCACCGCACAACATGACGAGGCAATTGGGGGGGGCAGAGAGCGGAATCGAGGAAATTGCAATCTAATCTATCACCGTCAAGCCCGTTCCCCGTCTGAATGAGGGGACAAAATTAAATTAATTCAGCGAAATTACTTCACGAGAGAATGAGGGATGGAATTGACGTTGCTTAGCTATCTAACAACATGAGTTCAATTTGAAGTTTATTTCTGGTAGGGGAATGTGGGGCAATTTCGCTAATGGGACCACCCGCTAGCATACTTGAACTATCAATTTCATTTTAGTGTGAAGTCGATAAATTTCAAATGAACTGCAACTGGAGTCTTAAACAAATCTAAATTTAAAATTAAAAAAAAAATGATTGCGAAATCTTGCAAATCTTTCTGGATTAGAATACAAAAAAGTGTGAGTCTGGAATTCGTCGAAACTCAAATAATTCAGCACAAGGGTTAGGTCACTCCGCACAGCAGTCTTGGGTCATCTTTTTTGTCAGTGTGCCGCAGAATGTGTCGATTGTGCCGGTCATAGAGCAAGCTGTGATTTTTTGTAAAATATACATCCCGGCAACCCGGTATTTTTGACACCTTGAATGTTTTGATTTGAAATCGTTCTTCAGTCAGTCAAACAGCACGTTATGTTGTGAACAATTTCAATAAAAGTTGTCCAACAGTGCTCCCATTTCATTTACAACAATCCAATGCCTACGAGATTGTTCCGATAGATGTGCCCAAGCTGTGCCGAATCTAATTTCAGCACAATGTGCTGAGTGACTTACCCCTACATCCAGCATCTTTTTCTTTATTATTACAATTATTATAGTCACTTTAACGCTTTAACGGTCATTCGTGACTTGTCCGGGGTGAGATTTGAACTTTGGCGTGAGAAATATGGATGCAAACCTCTACGCCGGGGTTGACCCCGTTTCCAGAATCTTGATAATAAAATGCTAAAATGTCCGCAAACTTCGCAAAGCACGAAACTTTTAAACTGAAATACGCTTCATGACCCTGAAGAAATGACCGATGTCTTGGAACTTTAATCCCTGGATTAAAATTTTTCAGGTCCAAGCCTTGTAAAAAAATATTGTTTCTCTTTCCTACATAATTCGTAGCATCATTATAGTTTGTAATGCACTTGTGAAGAAAGATTGAGAAATATTTCAATGAATTTAAAGAAAATTCCTTGAGATTCACTGAGCTTCCAGGTCACAAATGAAATTCCCTGAGTTTCCCTGATTGTCCAGGTTTTTTCAGGTAGTCGACATCCTGTGTTTTGTCATTGTCTGTTCCTGAAGAGAAAGTAAATCGGGCATTGACAAACTACAGCACTAGCTCCGGCATTCTAATGTCGGAAATACTCTCCAAATCAAGAGACTAGTCAGTAATGGAACCATTTCGGATATTTTTGCTAACCGTGGGCTAATACATAACGATACGCCTTTGACTCACCACCGTTGTTGGCGATAAACAAAAATATTTATCGTGATAATTTTAATTCATTCTCATATATGTCCCGGTACCGTTACGATAATTAGATAAGCGTGATTGCGCGTACGTAAGCAAGCACACAGAATGGCGAAATTGATTAACGCGATTACACATAGTCAGTAGGGGATTTGTGCTGCTACAACAACGCATAGTTCGTTCGCTTGCAGCATCCATCGGATCGCGTGCTCAACCACGTGTACTCTGGTGGTGATAATTTTAATCAGAATATGCTCCTTTCACACACCTCATCTACCACCGCTCCGGAGCATCCACGCCGGCATCCATCCATCACCGTCATCATCTATGCATGGAGGGAGATTCGTTTCTTTCGCTCGTTTGCCTACCATTCTCTACATGCGATGCATGCTATCGTGCAACAACCTATGAGTGAAGCACTTGCTCCGTCCATAGCACCATGTAACATTAATGCTCTGGATTAAATTGAAACGTCAATAATTGATGAAAATAGATAGACCATCGGTATTCCTCTCAGTAGCGAAACTCGAGGGCGGAAAATGTTTTCCCATCCATTACCATTTGTCGTAGTAGCCACTGCCGTCGCCGTTGGGAAATGAATCTTGGATGACTGACGTCACGATATCTCGTTCGAAAAACTACGACGTAATTACAACAGAATCAGCAGGCTGTTGAACCCTCCAGGGCAGAACGCCCTCTCTCTCTCTCAACACGTTATCACAATATAATGTTCGTAATTCAGGCGGAAAATGAGAAAAGTTAATTCAATTCTCCGATCGTTTGACATTTCTTCGTTCTTCGTTCACACCTATTGGAGGATTTGGAATCGGCGTACATGCACTGAAGAAATAAGTAGGATACGATTGTGTTATGGAACTTTTCCACAAGAAATATTCCGGCGATGAATGCAATAAAAGCAAAATTTTCGCACACAAGAATCCATGTTTTTAACAACTAAGTCCACCGATCTCAATTGGTAGTGAACCTTTCGCCAATAAATATTCATCAGGTTAATGAATTGAATGAACTGCGACCGAACCACAGACAAACAGACGTAACTCTTTGAAAAAGTTTATCTTGAAAACATAGTATCTCAAAACATAGGACCTCAGTAACGACATCTCTCAGGCTTCTCGCGGAAAATAAGCTTGCTCCCTAACTCGCAAACAATATTGCATGAAAGTTCTATAGAATGTATAGAAACGTCAAAGTGATCCGATGCTAGCGCTGCGGCGAGTAGTTCACGAAACTGATAATATTCAAATCAATCGTTAAATGCGTGAACGAAGATACACAATGAAGAGTTACGTCTGTTTGTCTGTAACCGAACAATGATGGATTCGCATTAATTCCAATGCAATGAAACCACGTTTTCTTCAAACTACATAACACTAATCGCATGAATATCATGCGATCAGTTTTCCGAGTGTATAACAATAGAGAACGATTCAGTTGAAGTAGGAAACTTACCTACCTGCTAGAAAAGCTGGCAACATCCATGATCCAGACATTCGCTTCGGAAGGAATGTTTGCTCAATCGCTGGTGGTAATTTGTGCTTTTATCGTGTTCGATCTAATTAATGCATAGTCGCAATTATCAGCAAGATGGCCAGGGAAAATTTTCCATTTTATCCTCAGCTAAGAAGAAGGGTGTGTTCAAAGAAGAGGCGAGAAACTGGTAAATGCCTACTGGATGATGATTGACTTTAATTGATATCAATTGCATCATCAGACAAACTCTTCAATTGTACATACCAGCTGCTGGAGGCAGTGGTGCCGACTTAGGAGGGCCTTTAGCCAATTTCGCTAATCTAGAGCAGCTTTTGGTAAAAATCAATTTTTCAATTTTCGCACAAAAAGTTGAATTTTAACCCATGAGATATTTAGTGAACTTCTCGTACATTAAATGTTGTCTTGATATTGATTTAACATCCCAAGTAACAATTTATGTTTTATGAGGGTTCTGTAGATCATGATTTGGCCTTATAGAATGCTATAAAACCTCTATAAAGCTTGCAATGTTACTAGGGATACAGTAGAAGTAACTTATTTCCTCAATTTACTCCATTTCCTTTCCTTGACATGTCAATTTCCTCACCCTTATTAGTTATTTTTCTGACTGTTTCTGGACTTTCTCTTAGGGATATTTCCGCATATGAAACACTTGTCTTTAATCCTCCGTTATAAAATATATTCCCCGTGCACACTTCAATGTCCATCCCATCTCCGTTGAACCTTTGCTATGGATAACACGTTTAACCAAACGCTTGATCGCAGTGGGATATCTCCGGTGGGAAATCGTTCACAAGCACGTATTGCACATCCCAGCCCAAGTAGCATTGTAAGTTTTATTGAGGTTTTAAAGCACTCTACAAGTCTAAATCATAGTCTACAGTACCCTAATAAAACAAACCCAAATTGTTACTTGGGAGGTAACCAATAAGCCCGCTAATTTTGATTGATTTTGTTATATAAAGCTAACATACGACTAATACAGGACTTTGGCGTATTATTAGTCGGATTATTACTAAGCAGGCTTGTTGGTTACTTGGGATTGCCCCCCTCGCTTTCTTTCCATCAGCATAATCGAAAATTTGATATTCAGAATTGTGCTTTCACAAAATTAGAAAGTTTTGTCCATGCTCAGGACTGGTGGTGCTGATGCGATATAACAGTAGTGACTTTAGTGACTCAAATTACGGAAGTAGTGACCAAATAGTGACTTGTAATTACTACATAAGCAACCATTTATATGGTAACTTAGAAATTGAAATACGGTTTGATATTGAAATAAACTTTTGGAAATTAAAAATCAAATTTCATAAATTCCTCTAATTTAATCGAATCTCACAACGGAATCTCCTGTAAAGAGCATTTTAAGTTATTTGAATAATTTACCTTTGCTTACGTTGTACATGATGACTAGCAAATAGTAATTCCCATTTTTTTTTATGATTTTGATTTTATTCTGCGTTTAAAATCTAGGCAGATAACTTTGATAATTCGCTAAGAAATTTTCCAGAAATTCTACAGGATTATCTCAATAACTTTTTTAGAATAATTCCTCTTCTCTTAAACTTTGAGGTAAATAAGCTTTTACAAATATAATATCGCATTCTTGAAATTCTTTGCAGAACAATCAACAAAATTCTTGGAAATAGATTATTTTCGTAGTTGGAAATGCTTAACATCAAATATCAGGATTAAAGTGGACATTTTATACGATAGATGAGGAGATGAAAGTAGAGGGTTGATAGTTCCGTTATAGTGTGAAATTTGTATATAGAAAGTAGAAAGCGAACAAAGGCCAATTTTGAGGATGGTACGAATTGGGTAGAGCATCTCCTTTACCAAACTCATCCGTTAATGAGGGATGGTGAAGGGTGTTTCCCCCTGCCACCACTGGCAAAATGTACCTCCGATG